GATGGTATATAAAGGTTCGTTCCTTTTTGTGGTCCTTCTCTCAGCTGTATAAAGGGTAGATGTATTTCGTCCGTGGGCCTATAATATCCGAACCTCTCCGTAAGGGACATTGACTGAGGGGAATTGTATATGAAATCGTCTTGCAGCTCTGCGTCACCTAATCTGTTTATGTTTCTGCTTGGATTTGAAATTTAAATCCAGCCTGGCTTGGGTTAGCATTATTTATGTAAAAGATGTCATGGACCCAGCCAATGTGGCAGTTATGATCTGTAGTCGGATTTCGGCAAGACAGATCTAAATTCATGTAATTTAGTATTTATCCCAAATATATTTTTGGCCAATAAGATCAGTAAATTGAATTAAATTCATGTAATTTAGTATTTATCCCAAATATTTTTTTGGCCAATAAGATCAGTAAATTGAATAAAATCGCTGCTTTTGGATAGCGAGAAGGGTTCGTTTGGGAGTGCTCTAGGAGGCACTGATGTTCATAAACGCTTTTATTAGAAATCATTAAAATCCAAGTCACTTGGGAGTCAGAAGCAATTCCAAACATGACCTAAATAATTGAAGTGACCTTAATTAGCGAATTCATATATTTTCTTTTTTCTTTAATGCCCTTGCATGTCAACCTTTTGGCGGAAAAAAAAATCGACTGAAAAACACAAAAAGGAGGGAAACCTGTCAGACAACCGTGCGACCACTCCAGACCAGTCACCCCCAGCTGAGAACGATCCTCTACAGCTAGATGATTCCGAGGAACCACCAGAAGCTGTTAATCACGCTCTGATCACACGGTCACGATTCATCCACCAGGTTGGGATTCCTGTCTCCTTAGAAATCAAGGATACAGAGGTAAGATCCTATAGAACAGATCCTGTCCAAGTAAGGTTGTGATCTATGATCCCATGTTCAGCAATATAAACCGTTGCAGTATTCTTTATTTATTCGATATGGGATAATTTGTTGGAATCCCACATCGGTGGGGTGAAAGAAAACAAATGGGTTTAAATAGAATTACCACACTCTAACTAATATCAAGGCCTTTTGTGGTAAAACCACACACCTGACGGATTGGGCAGGTGGTAAAGTGGGGACAGTATCGGTGTTGTTAGAGTGGGACCCAACGGGCAGATCCAAAACTTCAACATGGTATCAGAGCCAAGGCCCGTACAAGCCAACGAAGCTTGTCGCCAAGAAGGAGAAACAAGTCGGACTCTTAAAGGAAAAAAAAAAGAAGCCAACGAAGCTTGAAAAGAGCCGACCTCTGAGTTCCATTGAAAACAAGTGGGCCCAACGAGAGCCGACCTCTGAGTTTCAATTGCCGATGTGTGGATCTTCACGTGTGAACCACTAAAAAGGGGTTACACGTGAGGGGGAGTGTTGGAATCCCACATCGGTGGGGTGAAAGAAAACAAATGGGTTTAAATAGAATTACCACACTCTAACTAATATTGAGGCCTTTTGTGGTAAAACCCCACACCTGACGGATTGGGCAGGTGGTAAAGTGGGGACAGTATCGGTGTTGTTAGAGTGGGACCGAACGGGCAGATCCAAAACTTCAACACAATTAGCTTCTTTGGCTTATTTGTTTGGAATTTAGACCAGACTGAGATCACAAAAGAATTGCACATTTTCATTGACATGTCCTTGCCCTTAGCTTTCAAGATTTTATCCGATTTCCATGTTTTTCAACGTGTCTAACTTCTTCTCTCCTCCCTCAAAGCTTCCTACCAAAACCAAGCACTCCCTCGCTGCATTCATGCCTGGACCTTCAGACCCTGAAGATTGAGTTCTTCACAGACCCATCATTTGGTTCGGTGGTTTACTTTACTAAATGATTGACCAAGTCGAAGATTTTTTCGGCGAACTTGATCGAAGGGTTGTTTCCTGGAACATTTGTATTTCCTTTTGTTCTTCGAGAGGGGATGTTGCAAAAGTAGGAGATTTGTTTCATGAAATGCAGGATGAACTAGCACCCAACAGACATTGACCAAACCAAACATGGGATTCTTTCCCAAGCATCTTTGTTGGACTTGTATGCTAAATGCACCCTGCAGGGGCTGAGATACTAAGAAGCCTTGTTGATGCATTTGCAAACCTAGGTGCTCTCAAGTTAGGAAAAGGAATTCATGGCTACATTATAAGGAAATCATTTTATGAAGCTGACAAATGCAATACTCATCTTGAAACATCCACAATAAACATGTACATAAGATGTGATAGCATATCTACAGCTAGAGTATGTTTCAGTAGAATGTTGTTGATCATAGATATAGTGGCATGGACATCAATGATTGAGGGCTATTAGGGGTGGCAATTTCCGATACGACCTGATACACGACAGGAAGAATACAAAACAGGAAGCCTTGAAACTGTTTGATCTAATGATAAGAGAAGGAACAAGAACATGAAGGTTACAAAACACCAAACCAGAGCACAGCTTAGTGGCGTAACAAGTAACTCTCCCACAAAAGCAAATTACATAACAGGAGGGCAAGGAAGCCCGTCAAATTGTAAAAACTCAAACAAGAGACAAAGGAGGCCTACTGGCCCAGTGATCCACACCCGCCGCTCGAACACCAATCCTTGCAGCTTCATGCGCTGCACGGTCCAGATTGCGAGGAACCTACCTCCATTTCACCGATTCAAAATGAGAAGGAAAGTCTCCTAATCTCATTGATAATTGGAAGAATTGTCCACACCCTGTTACCCAAATTGCCTTTTAGACCATCCACCAGAGCACGAGAATCCGACTCAATCACAATCTTATGATCGTCCTCCGCTTCCGCCATTAGAGTCGAACCACCTTTTGGGGGATAATCAAGTTGTTGGCGTTGACAGGGACCCTGGGAGTCTACAAATAATCCACAGCAACGCGCCAAAAACTTCTTGTCATCAAATAGTGTGTTTTAAATTTATAAACTCACATGCGGGATTATAAGTTTAAAACACACTATATATCCTTAAAAGATTTTGGCGCCGTTGCCGGGGATTAGTTATAAACCCACAAGCGGAGATAATCAAGTTTCCGGCGCCGTTGCCAAACACCTTTGGGAGTTTATAAGAACGAGGTCGTTTGTGTGAAAAAATTACAAACTAATTAAAATCCAAATAAATTCAATTGCTAGCCTAATTGATTCAAAAGTTGGTTGATGGGTTGAAAATAGACAATTAAATTAAGCATTAAAAAATGAAAATGACAATAAGATAAAATAGAGATGAAATCATTGAGAAAAATAACAGAGGTATTAGAATCCATATTATTTCATAAAATTCTAATTACTTATCTATCCATTCCCATAAAGTAGCAATAATCTAGAAATCAATCTACTCTGAGATATATCAATTAAGCATGCAATTTCATAAAACTTCATGTAATTCCCCTTCCCTTCATAAGGACAAATTCTAAGCATTGGCATGAAAATAAAATTATTTAACTACAACGGATCAAAGTTTCCTAAGTATCCTATGTGAGAAAGATTATTTGAATCACAAGTGATTAAAGGAATTTGTATGCCAAAAATACGAAATCAAGGATGCATTAAAAAGTTAACCTAAATTCTTAACTACCACAAATACACGACAGAAGTGGTGAAAAGAAAATTAACCTATAAACATTGAGGAACATAACCTTAGTCAAAGAACTTAGCTAAACATACTAACTAATATCAAAACCAAGAAGTTGAAATACATGAAAAAGAAATGAGAACTAAGAGAGGTGAAGAACAACTAAAAGAGAGCCAGAACAGCTCTTGGTTCTCCTCTCTATCCTTGCTCTCTTTGCCCTAAGGCTTGGTGTCCCCTTCTTCTTTTGCTCAGCTCTCTATTTATAGAGACGGAAAGTAGCTAAAGCATCGTCACAACGTGCCAGCCATGTGCTGCTCTGTTGCTTTCGGTGGCTTCGAAATTGGAATCCCTCATAGTGGAGGGAGTCATTTTTTGCAATGATGGGAATAAGACAACATGGGTGACCTCTTTTTTTTTGAGTAAATATCACGAAGTGACCTTTTTTTTTTTTTTTTTGGTAAATACCACGAAATGACCTCTTTTTTGACCGGGTATTATTGTGGTTTCTTTTGGGCACGTGGCTGGCTGTTTTTGGAGATATTTTCTTTCGAGTGTGAGAGTGATCTTCACGGGTTTGAGAAAGAGTGTACAAGGGGTGTATTCTACTGAATACGGAGGCTCGGGTTTGGGTAAAAACTTTTGAGTGTTGTATTTTCTCATGTTATAGTGAAAGTAGCAACTCTTTTGAGACATAGGCAGTATTTTGCCAAACCTTCTTTGGTGTGTTGGATATTTTTATTCTGCTCATGTTGTGGTTTGTTCGGTGGTGTGGTGGTGGCCCAACATGCTCAACATTGTTTCTTTCCATATTCTTTAATTCTCCCACATGTGCATCTTCTCTCATTTGTTTATTTAATTATGCCAAGGAATCACATGCTGCAAAAAGAGCTGTGTGACATAACTCATTTTTTATCATTTAATTTCATTCACACGCCCATGCATCTACAAGAGACAAATAGAAAATTAATTGGGTCAATTAAATTAAATGAAACACTAACAAATACAATTTGAGGATGTTTAAAAAAGTAATATTTATGCGCTTATAAGTCATCTTGTCAAGCTTATTTTCTGCTTGTAGCCACTCTGGGCTTGTGACCGAAGGTGGTGAGGCTGAAGAAGGATTTACGGGTTTGTTTCTCGGGATAGATACACCATCAAATGGAGGCAGTTTATCGAGTCTTGGAATATTTAAGTGGGATGGCTTTGAAAGAAAAAAGGAGCCAAGGGGAGAGGTAGGAAAAAAGGTGAGGGCGGAGGGGCATTGAGGGCTCAAGGAAGATGGATATTTAGGTTTGTTTCTGGAGATAGATCACACCATCAAGTTGAGGCAATTTATAGAGTATTGGGATGCAAGTGATCAACTTTTAGAGAGGTAATATAATGTAGAGTGTAGTGAGATAATAGTTAATATAACGGACAATCAGAACTTCCACACACCAATCATATCATATCATGGAATTTTATTTATATATATTCCGAAGATCAACACGTTTACTCAGTCAAAGAAAAACCAGATTGAGGAAGCACATGGGAAAAGCATATATGATCCAAAGTTCGGACAAAGTATATTAAAATTTTACGGTTCTGGATTCACAACGAACACAAGATCTTTCATGGTTGATTAAGAGCTTGAGCATGGTGACGGATGTGATCATCTATGAAGGTGGAAATGAAAAAGTACGAATGATCATAGCCGGGCTGCAACCGCAAAAGGAGTGGAACTTTAGCACTCTTGCATGCCTCTTCAAACTTGTGTGGCAACAACTGATCATGCAAGAATTTATCATCTCCCCCCTGCACAAAAAGCATTAGTATTGGGGCAATAAGTTACACATTTTAAGAAATAAAACCTATATTCATCAATTGGAATACTGGACTAAGATTCATTCAGCATCCCTGCTTGAAGGGGATTATTAAAAGAGTAACATGCAGTTCTATTGTAAATCTAAAATCACATTTTTGTAATGCAGAGGTGACAACCTTTTCTACTTACTGCAAAATAAGAAAAAGAACAAAAAAACAATTTTTGAATGGAGAGGATAAGAAACTCAAATCTTGCTCCCTTATCTGCTAAGGTTCACAAAAGACCTTGATTGCTAGGGAAGAGTTTTCACACCATAGTTCTTGGGTTCAGCTCAATTCCAAAAAAATTCTTATCCTGTATTCCTTTGCCACTGTGTTCCTTGGTCAAAATTCCATAAATTATTCCTAATTCAGGTAATGGTCAAGGGGTTTATTTCATATATCCATGTATTCCTTAGCCACTATATCTCTTTTCTTCTCTTTTCTTTGGGTGAAAAGGGGTCAAGGGGTTTCTACAGCCAAAATATGAAATATCAATGCATCCCAGCCTACCTGAAGCGTAATTTTGAGTGCTAATGGTAATCATACACAATGACAAAATATGTTACCCCAAGATGTATCATGAAACAGCAAGGTGATGCAGAACCAAGAAGGAAAACAGAATAAACAGAAAGAGTCAAAGGGAAATTTCAAAGTTAGTATTATCAATCAATATGACAAAGATTCGAAAGCCATAACAATAAGCCCACTTACATAGTAATCCCAAAGTAATTCAATTAAAACAATAATTGAACGTTTGATTCATGACCTTGCACCTATGCCTACAATAATACTCCTTATCAGTTAGAAAAATAATTAAACCTTAAAGTTAAATAGAATTAGACAAAAATTGACCCTTGCACCTATGCCTAAAATAAGTAAGAATTCCTTCTTGCGTTCACCATCACTGGGTCATACATATATTCTATCCAACTATTTTTGTTTTTGTTTTTGTTCTTTTTTATGGGAATGATTACATGACTTGTCCTAATTTTAACCCTTTTTATCACCCCCTTATCACCTGGGGTAGCCTCATGGGCTATTCTATGCAACAACTCTAATAACAAGAATCAGCCACCTAAAAGCATAAATTCTTGCGACTATGTTGCGATGTCAAAATATTAAATAGTTGGCTCACAGCCTAACAAGTAAGAACTTGAGGTTTTTAGAAACAGTTGTAAACAACCAAAATTAACAAATGTCATAACAACAAAAATAACGATGGTGAACATTAGATGACATCAAATCTTACCTGGTCAATCAAAATGGTAGCTGAAACATCAGTAAACTTCTTAATCAGGCAAGTGGCATCATATTCCTGCGTTTTTTCATTCAATTTGTTAAAACTAGGAAGCAGAACATTATAACTAAGAATTGAAATGATTAGATTTCTCAATTTACCTCCCAATCAGTTTTATTGCCACCTAGATAATTTGAGAAGGCTTTCTGGCCCCAGGGACAGTTTGTTGGATTCACAATGGGTGCAAAGGCAGATACTGACTGGAAAGGGAGCGAAAAACAATATAAATTTCTCCTATAACGACCAGGAGATCTGTTCCAAAAATTTCATAAAGTTCCCTACATCTAAGGAACTTTTACAGAAGAACCAAACTTTCCAATGCTTTTAAATAAAATTCAACTTCTTTAAAAAGAGAAGAAAGAAAAATCAACTTCCGGTGAAATGTCTAGATCTTTTACCTTATACTTGTCCAGGTTTTTCAGGTAGATTGTCAAAGCACCGTGCCCACCCATAGAATGACCAGATATAGAAGCTCGCAATGTATCAAGCTGTGGAAAATTTTCATTCAGAAGTTTTGGCAACTCCTTGACAGCATAATCATACATACGCCAGTTCTTCCATTTCTCTTGAGTAGCATTGAGATAAAAACCAGCACCTGTTTGAAAAATGCACGCACACACAAGCACACAAAATTCAGTGAAGGCTCTTTACACCTACAAGTACTCGCTCACTACCAAGCAAAGCTTGTCCTTGCTAACTGAAAGGTGTTTGCATGCAATAAATTGCTTGATGAAATATAATTAGTAACATGTCAACGGATAGGTAATTACTAATTAATCATTCACCCTCCACTAAAAAAGAAAGTAACAAAACTTTCATTTGGAAATTCTGAAGAAATCAGAAAATTTGCTGGAATGAAACCCCAGGTCCTTCAAAGGAACATAAATTTATAAATTCCATCAAAACAATTACTCTTTCATATTATTGAATATAATAATAAGGTGTCAGTCCAAAGAAGATAGCCTAGATGAATCTGTAATTACTGAAACCAATACCCTTGGGACTGGGTTTCTTTTTGCCTTCTTACTACCAGAATCACTGGGCATCTAACACATCCCATGTCATAATCTGAGTCATCTAGGGATTCATGGTTACTCTCTCTCCACATTTAAGATATTATTGACCATTTTAGTTCCCTTTTTTAAAATTTAAAACAAGTAGTGACATTGTCAACCATTCAAAATAAAAAATAACTTAATTTAAAATACAATTGCAAGATATGGGCTATCCATCTTGAGCAAATTGGTAGGATTCACAAATTCCATAGGGCGTGAAACAATTTTTTAATTACTGCTTCGCAGATTGAAATATAACAGTCTAGCGTTGCATACCTACACCAAAATCCCAGCTCTCCGCCTCTCCTTCTATAGATAAGCCTCCTATTAAGAGAATTTAGATGAAGAAATAATTAGTACAGTACAGACATAATAACAAAAGATATATGATGGCTTTTAACGAAGCAACAGCCTATCATAAGAGAAGTAAAAGTAACCATATAACTAGAAGAAATGAGGCTTAGCTACTCACAGCAAATAAATGGGTACAAGGGTTTTCCATAAATGTATTTGTGACTCCTCATTCCAATTTCCTAAATTTACAGTCTTCATCCCCAATTTTTTTCTTGGCTAAACAATAAGACAACCAGAATATTATAAATAAATAAAAAAATATTTCACTAGAGTAGCGCCGTGGAATGAAATCAATTGAGTCACACTTCAGATTAATCATTTATAGAGCTGTTCGATAATTATAGAAAAGTTGGGACTTGCGTGCAAAACGCCTTGTTTGATTGTTCATGTATTTCTACCTCGTTTATCATTGTATTCAGTAGTTTATAATTTCTCTATTTCCTTCTACCTCCCTCCCTTAGGAGGAGTGGTTGTTTCTCATTGAAATCTCAATTCGAAAATTGATGAGTAGTGCAACATGATAGCTTTAATTTAAGTCCTTGTAATTTTCAAGCAAAGAAGAAATTCAAACAAATTCCAAAGACCGTTCTTTCTGGTGGTGACACTAGCTGACATCCTTTACTTTGTGTGTGTGTGTGTGTGTGTGTGTGTGTGTGTGTGTGTATTAGACAATGATGGAGGGTTTTCGGCTAGTGGTTTAGACATACGACGTGGAACAAGGTGCAGCCCAAATACAGACACAACTTAAAGTTAAAACATTCTTGGACAAGTTTAGGTTAGAAACCTTTAAACTTATATAACAATTTTAAAGTTTTTTTTATCATTATTATCCAAGGAAAGCTCGCAATAAAGAGAACCCTGAAATTTAGAGCTGCAGTCTATGTATATTATAAGCTAACAAATTAAGTTATTTGGAAGTTAACTGCTTAGAATTGCAAAATGGCATAGTAATTATATCAAATAACTTGATTATGACCACATTCTAAAAATTTGATTACATGATCCAAACAGTCATTTGGCCACTCTGGTCGCCCCTCAGGTCTTTTTAAAGGTTACCAACTAACATCTGTCCTACTTCCCTGGAATCTAGCCAAACAAAGGGCAACCTACAGAAATAAATATATCTCTTGCAAAAGATGCAATTAAAACTGGCATCTACAACTACAATTATGACCTTGAAATTGATTGAACAAGGGCTTCTGACTTACTTGGAGATGTATCAGGTGTAATCAAAGCAACGCCCTCACTTGAGGCAACACGTTGAGCTCCTGACTTAATTATAAAATTCTCATCTGTGCAGGTAAGGCCAGAGAGCCAGTAAAGTACCTGATCATCCGTGAAAACAAAAAGTTAGTAAATTTGGTTATGGCACATTATAATACAAAAACTTCTACAGCAGCATACCGGGAAACAAATTTGGTAAATAACTGTCAACTATTACAGGAAGCATGGAAAAGTAGTTTATACTAACCAAACAATGCCCAAAGAAAATGATTATATGAAATTAATTCAAGTAGTATTACATGCACCAACTATTATCCCAACTTTTTAATACCAACTGATGTGGCACAAAGCATGGAAGCTTGCTGGTTGTAACTAAATCAGGTCCAAAGTGGGCCCAATATAAACAAATGAAATGTTTCCACAGCAGATGGTATTTTAAAAAATGGGATATAAGTTAGTGCCCCTGTGACTATTGAATTAACAGCGTTTTAGCCAGTGATGCAGAAATGATTGGTTACAAAAAGAAATGAGAAAGCTTCCTTTTCCCCATCCATCTTGCAAAATTTTCTCTTTAGTTAATTACACATTTGGATAATTCGCATCACTGCCTTTAAATTCCTTGTCAATAATAGTACTAGGAGATGACTAAGTTTGCAATTATAATGTTGCATGTGAGTACCAGAGGAGAGAACTAATTATAGTTTTTCTGAATTTGATAAATTATTTGTCCTATCAAGACTCAGGGAGACTAAATTCAAAATTCTACAGAAGTTAAAATCCTTTTTTAATTAAAAATGATAGAATTAACCATTTGGGAAACTAAATTCCTATTTGATCACTTGGGTGTGTGCCAGTGCTTGTTCATTCCATCAAGAAAATATTGCAGAACACATGCATCAAGAATTGAACCTTAATAAGCTAGATACAAAAAGAGCAAAACCTTTATCAATCAAAACCCAATATTCACAGATACAATAGATTCCACCCACACAACCCTAGGGTGTCAAAATCAGATAAAAACCCAGATAATAAATTTATTTGGAAATGAAATTTAAAAAGAAGTTGGAAATGGGTATGAGAGAGAGAGAGAGAGAGAGAGAGGGGGGACTTACAGGGAATCGGTGGGAAGGAGAAGTAGAAGGAGGGAAATAGATGTGGAAGGTCATGGAGCAGCCGAGAGTAGGACTGAAATGCTTGTACCTCTTGTTGTACCCTCCAAACATCTTTGAGCTGCTGATCTCACTTGGCTTCGTCTCCATTTCTCTCTGCCCTTCTTTGCTCTGCGACTGGGGATTTCGCTCAAACTCTATACTCTATATACTGCGGTAGTGAGTAAGCTCCGGAGTGGCAATTTTAACTTTATATATATTAGCTAATAGCTAGTAATTTCACGTATTATATATGTATTTTGCGTATTTTATTATCCTTGTCTATTGAGAACTTCTATTGGATATGAAATGGATTTCATTGTTTCGATTATTCACATTTGAGTAGAGACTATAATTTCACGTATTTGTCCCATTTGTTTTGAAAATTTTTTCTTAAATGAGGACAATTTTGGGTTATTTGAAAATTTAACCAATCTTTTGCTATATTGCACACACTAACCAGTTAATAAGTTACTATGACATTAACCACTTGTATGGGCTTACTCCACAACGTCATCTTATGATCTGAATTATTCATTTTCAAAGATGACCCCTGCAAAAATTACTCAAAGTGAACAATATTGAACACTGGACTTTCAAAAATGACATTAAGGGCCACTTTTAAAAATAAAAATAAAGAATATGATACTATTTTACTGCATCAAGGATGAGATTACTATGAATATGCTAATAGAGAGTTTTGTATAGTTTTTAGGACAAAATTGACTAGAAAAAAATTGAGCATAAATTAATATCGTCTATACTCGGTATAGTTCATAGGGGACATTGTGAGTATCTAGTAGTAGCAAATCCAACTTTTTAAATTGAAGTTTGTTGACCTATTTGAAAATTTGAAAATGTATGTTTGCTACTTTAATAATTTGTGCCCAACAGACTCTTGATCGGTTCATAATTGTATATTATTTCTTACCCTTCTAGCTTATGATTTGGTTATGTTTTTGAGTTAAACTTGTGCTTTTAATCCTTTTTGTGTTTATCTTTCAGTTAATTGAGCTTTAGGTAATAATGATGGCTTTAGAGAGCATGATTCATGCAAATTCAAGCATGTTAAGGCCTAATTTGGATGAATGGATGAAGAGCTTAAAAGACAAACTCATTTTGGCTATAGCCCCCTGCCAGTTCAGTTCCGTAGGTCATATTGCAAGCTTTGTTTCAGCAACCTAAACAGCTCGGATGAGGCAGCATTCTTCATGAAAGTTGTTCCAATGGGTGTGTACTATAACATATCCAAATTTCAGGCCCATTGGATAAATCTGGAGTCCGTTACCTAGCAAAACACAGAACCATGCTCAGGATGGATCTTATCAGCGCGGAAAATGAGTTAGCAATTTGTTTCGGCCTTAACTTCTTCCTCCAACCTTGGATTGGCCCAAATAACATATGGCTGGAAAGAAGACATTCTGAACTTCAATTTAGAGTGCTTAAAGTCCTAATTTGATTAAGAGAAGCCCAAGTTGTAAGCCCTTGAAGTTGCTGGTCATGCTGACCTCAGCATGTGCTGGTTGGATGCTTGGTCATGGTGAGCTAGGTATGAGCTATCATTTCTGGTTGGAAGCTTGGTCATGGTGACATGAAGATGAGCTAGGGCTGCTGGTGGGATCTATTGGTGAAGTGCATCAACCAATTCAAATTTTCTAATACAAGTGCATCAACCAATTCAA